TTGTTTGTTTACTCAGAGCGGACGTCAACCCGCGGAGCACGTGCTAAATTAGTAAAACTAAAAAGCTATAGTAATGACTCTCAGCATGCAAAAATGCAGACATAGTCAATAAGGTTGAGCTGGATACTCGTTTCAGACGAGTATTTGTTRCGGATAATGCATTTTTGATAAGTATGAGCAAGAACCGAATAAAGCTTGTCAATATCCGTGCTCGTTCTGAAGGAAGATCCTCATTGGATAACAGACTGTCTTCACGAGCTGTGATTGGTCAGTCACACAGAGAGAGCCCACCCCTCCCCTCAGCAGCGGGAGCCTGAAGCTCACACACACACACACACACACACACACACACACACACACACACACACACACACACACACACNCACACACACACACACACACACACACACACACACACACACACACACACACACACACACCTTAATATTATCAACATTGTTCAGGGTGGGAGCTGGAGCCTGTCTCAGCAGCCTTTGGGTGAAAGCAGGGGACACCTGGACAGGTCTCCAGTCCATCACAGGGACACAGACAGAGACAAAGTCCACCCTTCCAGTCAGGCTAGAGTCACACAGAGAGTTCCAGAATGTTTTAGAACTGAGAACTCTGAGATCTGAGTTCTAATCACATTTTAATAATAACAATTTATCATGTCAATTATTGTCTATTGGTATTGAACTTTTTTGAGAGGAGTTTTTAACATTAAGATGTAATCAGGCAGACATACAGTATATACACATATGCATTTATTATTATTAATACTATAATTAAAAGGTGAGATGTGTATGTTTATATTTGTATCAAACAAGTACTCCTTTTTGTTACTCTGTACCCCTGAAGTAGCTCTCTGCCTCAAAAAGGCCGGTGATCCCCACTATAGTTGGTGTTTAACTATTGTAAACAAATACAATAACGCATAATTACATTACATTATGTCATATTTTCAAATTTCTTGTCAACGTTAACATTTTTTTGGTGGGGCTGTTGGTGGGCTGCCAAAGTGGCCCTACCACCGGGCTTAGCCGGTYTTCTGGGGGAAACCCTGAGTARGATAACTCCCGTATAATGGTGAGCATGCAAATTTGTTAATAAATAGGCACAACAGTGATAAACCACTATTGAAGGGAACGCAAAAGAAAAGAAATAAACCCCCACGTCCCCTCGCGGGCTTCGTAAAATTCTAGTTCAGTCCCCAAATAAGTGTCAGCATTTGTTTTTGAACCCCCCCCACCCTYGAAAAAAAAGTAAATGTGTTTTGTTGATGGGACAGATACTTATAGAAAGACAATCTTTAGTGCAAGACTTTCTGAAATCTTATCTTTTATTAGACRGGGAAATGAAAGCAATCAGTCGAACAGAGTTAAGCTGCAACTGGCAGTTAGAGATTTGAAAGTTTTACTGCCAGACGACTACTCCAGCGGCCAATATGAAAAGATTTTTTTTGCAGTGCTCTAGAGCTGTAGCTATACTTTCAAAAGATGCCAAAGAGAGCAACGGAAAGTATGAAAAGTAAATGTCACTTCCGATAGCAAACAGGCAGAAAGTCAGGCTGCTTAGGAAGCTTAAGTGCTTCAGCACAAGTGGTAAATAACACCAAATGTGCATGTAAAACTTGATACAAAAATGCTTTTCCAATGTCTCTGCATCTGCCTGCACTTGTGTCTGATTATGTGTGCCTCTGTCACCCTATTCGGATCTGTAATTATAAAGGAGACATGATAAGCCACTTTTTTTCCCTCTCCTCTGGGAGCTTACAGCTAATTATAGAGCCAGCGGTGCTTCAAATTGCCATTTAAAACAGCCATACGGTGGGAGACAATAACACACTCCCTTGRTGGCGTCTGGATCGAGGTATCTTGGTTAAAAAAGGAGAGCAGACTTAGGATCGGTAGTGGAAAAAGAAAAGTACCCCACAGCTGTGTGAAGCAAAAAATGACTTATTGCCTGAACAGAAGGACATATTTTAGCAGTTAAAATATAAAAATTTGCAGACGGCTGCAAGCACAGATCAAGAAGAGTGATTCACAGCAAAGTGAGGGCTTAGTGGAAGGCCCTTTAGTTAAGACCATTTAATAGGTACACATTTTTTATACTTGATTTATTCAATTTATAATAAACGTTGGCTTTATCTCATGGTAAAACTAAACAAATGTCTCCCAAGTAAATAGAAATTACGCTAACAAGAATTCTATTAAATCAAGATAGATTGGTTATCAAACTTAAACTCAAAGGAGAAAAGAAATTAGGAAATAAAAAAGTAAAGAAATAAAAGGAACTCTGAGTAGTTGAGAGTTGAGTTTGTGAGTGAAGCCACTGGAGTGGGACATGAGACCAAACAAACAGAAAGAGTGAAGAACGCTTGAAGAGGGGCAAGGAGGGATTTGTGGTTTGTGGTGGAATGTGTTTTGAGGGAATGAACACTGCCAATACACACACATAMACATACACGAGAACACACACATACACATGTGAAACAACATTTCCTCTGCCCGTGGCCATCTTTCACATCCAAATCAAAACACTTTTACTCTACTTTTCTTTCAAAAACACACACTAAAACCACAAAAAAGTGAAAAGATCTTGCAAAAATACTCATGCCTTTAAGTATTAGCTCAACAGGGGGTAGTAAGTCATGATTCCTCAGCACCATGTAAACACTAGTGCATAAACCTAATTTTATACCAACACAGAAAGTGCATTTACATACACACACATAAGTAGATTATACAGCTGAAGGTGGTGCTAAAGCAGGATGAGATGAAAACCCACAAGTCAATTTATGTTCAATAGAAACAGTTTTACCAGTATGTGTTTCCATGTATGCATGTTGAAGAGTAATGAACRGTAAGGTCTATGTTTTATATGTTTTTGTTCATGTCTTTTTGTACCCCCTTTATAAGACATTTTGACAAACTTAAGTTTATATATCCCATAACCATAACCAGTTAATTAGTAACATGTGTGTGTGTGCATGTGCATTTGAATGCAAGATAGAGTTACAGTCCATCAAAGTAATGAGTTTAAGAAGAYCTGTAACGAGACACTGGTCCTATCTGTAACTAAAACCAGGTTGGATCCTGGCAAACATAAACGGATGACATGATACTGCAGGTCTGCTATCTTACTGTATTTTCAGCACCAAGACCTAAAGTGGTTCAAGACGGTGAATAGTAGAAACATTCAATATAAAATTAAATCATCAAAAAGTCAACCTTTATGGATTAAACAAAGAAAAAGAGGAAGGGAAAATAAACAGTCATGCTTAGAATTTTTGAAGATAAAAGAGAATCCTAGTAATCAATTCATCCATCCATCCAACAATCAATCCAACAATCAATCCAACAATCAATCAACCCATCCATCAACCCATCCATCAATCAATCCATTAATCAATCAACCCATCCATCAACCCATCCATCAATCAATCAACCCATCCATCAATCAATCAACCCATCCATCAATCAACCCATCCATCCATCCATCCATCTATCTATCTATCTATCTATCTATCTATCTATCTATCTATCTATCTATCTATCTATCTATC